GTGCTCTATGCACGCTTTCCAGAAGGAACAAAAGCTGCACATTGGTGATGGTAAGACCCAGGGCTTCACTAGAGTTTTACGGCTCTTTGTTCTGCTTCTGGCTCTTCCTCTGTATTTTGCACTTCAAAACCAGCTTGCTAAACACATGGAAAAAAACAAACAACACTTGAGCTGAACACATCTTGATACTGCTTTAAAACGCAAGCATGTTTTGAAGTGTCTAAATCTAGTAAACCCACAGCATTGTCAGGGGCAGTCTTTCCAAGAGATTTCTCACAGAGGCTTTAAAGGTATTAATGGTGGAATATCTTACAGTCTCAGTTCAAGAACTTAAGCCTTTAAGAAATTCTCCAGCCCCACTGACATTGTAAAGGTTAACTACAAATGTTTGTTCTTTTGTTTAGTGGCAGTATCTGAACCTGTTGTGCTAAGCAGGGACAGTGCTCTGTGCTTCAGGGCAGTCGGACTCTTGGTTTGATGCTTACTGCTGTGCCAGCAGAAATTTGCATCCAATATTAAGCAGAGGAGTTTTCCTTCTCTGGGAACTCATTAAGTATACTTTACAGATGCACTTGCCTGTTCTTTCACCTTAGTTTTCTCAGAGTTAGGAATGCAAATGAACACTGCCAGGAGGAAAATCTTTGGGCTTCTGAATTACACCCTTTTCCAGTTTCCATTCTGATTTCTTGTATGATAAACACATGTTCAGTCTATAAATAGTTTGTTCTCCACATCAAATTAATTCTAAACATTTACAGAAGGAAATCAGGAATAGAAGCCTCTGTTTCCCCACATCTGTCAGCATCATCTCACTGGAAAATAAGCAGAGCTGTATGTGGTCAGGGGTTCTAAAAGGCCTTTTATTATTGCTTCGAAGCGGATGTATTTGATAAATATACCTTATGTCATTCTGTCGTGCTTTTGTGTGGAAATAGGAAAGGAGTGGGATGCTTTTAGCAGTCTCATCATCTGGTAGCTGTTTGTAAATGTTTGACTCACACTTCTCTACCTCAAGCAGGCCCTGTTCTAACACCCACTGAAGTCAATGGGAGGCTTTGCATTGACTTTCATGAATATGGGATCAGGACAACATTAAAAAATTTTAGAAATTCCTTCTATCCTTGGGACAAATCCTTACTGTGTTAAAGTATTAGCTAAAGAAGAGGACTGAGCAAAATGTTTGTAACAATGTATTTTTAATTAAATTTATTCTCCATGAACCAATGATATAATTCTTAAATTAACCCATGCTGTGCAATTTGAAAACAACTGTGTGAAATTTTGCATGAGCTTTTTTGCTACTAAGGTGGCTCCATTTTATATTATACATTCACGTTGTTTATCAGACTTTCAGTAGGGTTGGTTGTTTCTGACTCGTGACATTAGTGCTTGTGGTTCTGTGGTTGGCAGAATGTAACCCTGGTGCCTGGAAGAACCAGCAGGGGCAAACCGTTGGCATGAGGTGTTCACCTGGTGCAGTGACAACTGGCACCTGGGCAGATTTTGACTCATCTCACAACTATGATGATGTGTGCTGTTACTAAATCAGAAAAAGCAGGTGATGGGAGAAACAGGGAATGGTTGATTACTTCTGTGCTGGATCGTGTGATTTCCCTCACCTCCACTGTTGCGAGGTAAGGACAGGACCACTGGACTTGATACATGGCTTCCAAAAATCTCTGAGGGAAATGGCAAGCTAAGGTTACCTTAAAGTTAGTCGAAAGGGCTGGCGTGTGATAAACAGGGTCTTGTAATGAGTTGGGAGCTGGGGAGGGTAAAAGGAACAATAATATCTCTGTCAGCATTGTGTGACATAGCGACAGTATGGGGATACACAACTGGGAAGCATCTGGACCACTTCAGAGTCTGTATTCTTCTTTGTGCTTCCTCTCTGTACTCATGGTTCCTGGCCAGCTGTACCTTGTCCTGGTGTTGTTGATTTATGACACAGCTACACTTCTCACGGCAAAGTCTGTGACTCCTTTGCAGAGGAGCCAATTGACAGCTCCTGTGCAGACTCTTGTCCTGTGGGACTGTGCTGAAGACACTGCTCTACTTTGAGATCGGCCATATCGTGTTATGACGCAGTGACTGCGTGTTGTGTGACAGCACACGTCAATGTGGCAGGTTTCAGTGGGTGGTTTGGTAAAGGTGGACTGTTGATAGCCACAGATGTAAGCCAACCCAAGCATGCAGATTGTGAATGCCTGATGGATCTATAAGAAACAACACTGCTGCATCTGAACTGGGGAAAGATATTACTGAACAGGTTTACTTCTTCTACTATGCTGTCGCTTCTGCTATTGGTCATGCTTTTTACTTTTCTCGCTCCTAATTGCCCAATCTCATTTAAAGATGTATTGAAACAACTCTTCTCTTACGACCAGAGGATCTTAAAGAATTACAGTCTGTAACAGAACAAAAGGAGAAGCCAGTTACACTGACAAAATTGGAATTGCACCGATTTTGCCAGTTGCAGGACATTGGCCTGTGATAACACAAGTGTGGGACAAAGACAGGTCTCTTGCTGAGGCCTGAAAGTTCCCAGTCAAGCAGTGTGCACATGGTAAAACTGGGTAAGAATAGGTTTAGACAAAGGCAGACTGCTGCCCAACTGCCTGCTCTTCCTATGAAGACTTCAAAAAGTAGAGAAGTCCCAGACATTGAATTTTTCACAGTTGAAAACAAAAGACAGCCCCTGAAAGGTCTGAAAGTCAACTGTGGCAATAGATTATTTCCACCTCCAGAGTATATTTTTCTGATCCGGTCCCCTCCTTCCTTCTTCTGCTCCTCTGGGAGCAGCACTACAGCCCTGCCTAAAGAGTAATAACAAGTAGAGAACTGCTTGGGAGTAGCCACAAGATGCCACAGCTTCTGGATAGTAAAAATTGAAAATACCATAATCTCCTAATTGCTGCTGTTTCTGTTATATTGACATGGTGAATGCTGGTCCATGCATGTGGAGTGAGTGAATGACGAATTTCTAACTGATGAGTTTCTCCTGCCATCATCACCCATTTATGATCTGGTGTCTGAAAGTTCCCACTGCAACAAAACATAGGTTTTTTTCTTCTAGCCAAGAGCTGGAAAGCTCTCAGCTGAAAACCAAAAATCTATATACTGTGAGCGAGTGGCTGTTTTCCACTTTCCTCACTCCTATCTAACTCGTGTCAGACCTTTCCAGTTCTTTGATGTAATCTCACTTCATTTGGGCTTTGCCTGGGACTGTGGTAAGATTCCTTCTTCTCACACTGCCTATAATCCTGTGCAAATCAGTAACCTGCACCTCTCCCATCACAAAAAAGAGCAAAGGGGCTTTCACCCCACCCCCAGCCCGGCAGTTCCACTGCTGTAAGAAAATCCCCAGCAGAGGAAAAGCCAAATCTTCTGGTGTCAGCACCCTTCATACGTCAAGAAAGGCAAACTCAGGAGAGGGTCTGATCAGTGTGTATTATTTTCTATCCTCTTTCATTGGCTATTACTGCATGGTTGACTTCAGAGTTGCTTTGACATCCCTGGGACTGGGGCCAAAATGGAACGAATCAGAAAATACTGGAACCATGCATAATGGGCTCCTTGTCAAGCCACTTTCTGCTAACCTCAGCAGAACCTGAGCATGCCAGAGAACTGGGGGCTAAATGGGAAGGAAATTGCTAGCACAGATGTTTGATGTGTGGTTGCAAATAGCAGCCTCCTCCCTTTTGTGTAACTCGGACCATAAAGAATACTAGGATGCGCATCATCCAAGAGCACCTCACTCTTGAGTGATGCTGGACCCCGGAAATATGGTGATAGAGTGATAGTGTAAGTTGTAATTGCTCCATTTTTATTTGAATAAAACCTATTGATCCAGGGAAAAGCATACCCCAAATCTCAAGAGGAAAGACAGAGTTGGCTTTAAATAATTCAGAACATTCAACACTTTCTTCTTCTCTTTCAAGTAATGGGACAAAATTCATTTCTTATCTGCCTCCAATAGCTTGAAGAGAATTAAACCATTACTGTCATATATTATTTGTGTGTTTGGCACTGTACAAGACACACCAGGAATGAGTGTAGTCCATTATGTTTCTGGACATAAGTTCTCTCTTTGAATTCAAGTGCCTGAAGTTAAGCACTGGCTGTGATATCACCTACAGAATAATGACTTGAGAATCCTGAGAAATAACCTTGTTATATGCTTAGGGCTTAATTTTAAAGGATCTGAGCTTGCATTCATTGGCTGTAGTTGAAAATTATTGTGATGGTCCCCTGACAACACAAAAGAGATTTTCTGGATTTTGATCAACAGAGAATTTCTTAATTATCTCCTTATTTAGCAAGCCATTCTGCAGCAGATCAGCGTATGCTGAGGTTTGTTGGTCAAAGGGTATTGCTGGCTATTTTCCCCTTCCACCTGTTATGCCCTCTCATGAATATGGAGAATGTGGTAGTTCTTGATATTATGAAAGAACATGTCTGCCTTTGGTAAAAGACTTTCTTCAGTCTGCAAATCTGATACAATCTAGTGCAGTCCTCTGCAGCACGCTAAATGGCAGCAGAAACCTCACAGCAAACAGACTACCCTGCATGTCCCCTTCACAGGGGGCTGTATTTTATACGTCGTTAGGCAGATGCTATTCAGCGCAGGAGCTTGAGTTTCCTCAGCTTATCAGGTAAACAAACAATGTGTATTATGGATTTATGATGGTTTTTTCCCCTATGCCCAGAATGTTGATGAATGTACAAAATAACTGTCCACCAGTTTCCAGTCTTAAATGTTCCACAGAGATCATCTCTAGCCAAAGGCCTTGGCATGCAAACCAGTTTCTTTTTTGCAGAGACAATCTCTGTGTGTCCGTTTGAAAGTTTCTTTAGATTTGTGGATTTGGCAGTTCTGAATATTCACAAATATTGAGTAGCTCCATCTAGACTCTTCTGACAAAATTAGCCAGATGCATATGCTTTTCAGCACGTCTAACATACATTAACAACATTATCCTGGGCTTTTGTTTCTACAGCCGAAACACCCCAATCCTGACTGGCGCTACTCTGCATCCCTAAGGGCAGGAATGCAAAGGTACGTATGGTGTTTCCCCACGTGAAGGGGAATTCTGTCTTTGTCCTCTGTGAAAAGGACAAAGCTGTCTGGCTCCTCTGATGCCCTACGCTGACCAGGTCTGTACGCTGAGATGGAAAGCACCTGAGTTCTGCTGCTGTCACTTCCAACCTCCAAGTGTTACAGATTCAGTCTGACTGCATCTTGCGCTATCATTATACTACCATAGATCTGTGGGCGTTTTGTGTTTACCTCCTGCCTTTTTATACATTGACTGTCGAGGCATAATTGCTCCAATTATTGAATTATTTAACTGTGATTATACAGTTTTTGTTTACTTTAAGGCTCCCTGCAATCATCTATGCTGATATGTTTCAAGACTGACTGCAGCATTGATGTGTTTTCCATCTTGTCTTTCGTTACCATAAAAGTATGCTGCTCCTGCAGTCAGTTTATTAACCACATGGTGCAATCAAGATGATTAATACAGTTTAAAGGACATTTTGAAGATATGAGATGGATTTTCAAAGAAGGAAAAGTGAGGCTGTATCCAAATCTCTTTAGACATCTTTGAAAGTCCTCTGCCTAACATCACAAGCAGACTCTGCTATAATTTGCTACTCTGTACACCTGAAAAAAAAGAATTATAAAATTGTTTTTGTAGAGCCTAAATAAAATAATATCTTTGCTCTCCCTTCCTGAGCAGATTAGAAAACTGGTTATATATTCAGGTGTAATCTGACATGATTAATAAGACTACCTTGCAGGCTTAGATGTAATTATAAGGCTGCAGTAGTTCCTAGTGGCACTACAAAGTGCAAGACAGTATGCTTTTCCCAAAATTGTTGGTGCAATGGGACTGTAGTCATCACCTTTTATCCATTATCCACAGGGCTGAGGAGTCTTCATAAGGTTGAAGTCCAAAACTCAGATTCAGACTGTCCATCCCTGAGGCTGTGCTTCATGTGGGTGAGGGCACAGTGTACCTCTCCAGCTGGCTTTGGGCTGCTGTGTAAAAAGGAACCTAAACCTCAGGGACCAGAAGGAAAGGAAGGAAGAAAGAGCAAGCTTGATTCTGTGGCCTGTTGGGCAAACTGCTTTCCTTCTGTTATGTTCCTGCTGTGGTGGGTTTTTTTAATCCCTGACTGCTTACTGCAAAATGAATAAACAGTCTGGGGAGCAGGATCCTGAAGCAGGAATTCTCCTGCTTACCCAAGCATCTTACCTACGGTCCTCAGAGCCAGGCGTGCTCTCGTGTATTCCCAACATGATCCTGTGGATCCACGTTCCTTTCTATACAGAGTTCAAGATCTTGCCTGAAGTTACTTGAACAATCAATGAAAAGTCAGAGCTCATTTAAAGCAATTCGTGCACAAGTAGGGGAGCTAATGAAGCCTTTCTGGGAAATTGTATGTGTTCCTCTCTCACATCGATAGCCCCCATCCTTACCTGAAATCTCAGGTTCTGAGCCTGTGTGACCTGCCCAGGTGATGATTTTCATAAAACGCTAATTTTTAATAAAACTTGCAGAAATTTGGTATCCCTAGGACCCTTGACGTCTGTGACATTTGATTGAAACCGCCCATTAAGTTCAACTGGGAGTGTGGAAGGGAGCTGAGAAGCAGATGAGCAGAGAGCAGGGACACGGTCACAGAATCCTGTTTCTCTAAGGAATTGCACACAAATACTTGCTTAGTTTTGCATTAAAAGTAGCAGATTTTTTCTTTTCCTTCCATCTGAGGTGCTGGCTAATAGCAGAATTGGTGCTTTCAAGGCCAAGTGCTCACGACGTACTGTAAAATTTGCTGTGTTAGTTTCTGCATTTGAGAAAATGTATTTCTCTTTCTGAATTGCTAATGAGAAGCACGCAGTAACCTGGGAAAGTGGCATCTGTTAAAGTAGCATAATGACAGAAGCTCAGAACGAACTCCACCAACTTTTTATCATTTGCTTTAATGCTAATACGTCGTAACAGCAAAGAAGGTGTGTAACTTCCTTGTTAGCGACTTCCAGTCAGTGAAAGCAAAGTGTCCTGCAGGTATGTTTGTTTTATAAATTATGCCACAACTGTGTTTTAGTAAATATTCAAAGATAACTTTTGCAAGGCAAAATAGCTAGTTCTCCAATGCTCCAGCAGAATTTGCTAACATCATGCAATGCTATAGCGGTAGTTGCACAGCAACAAACAGTTATGACCTTTGAAGAGTAGCAAGAAAAGGTAATGTTATAAAGCCCAGGGCAGAGGGGAACTGTATAATCTAACTATGATATATGCTTATTCAGTGCTGTGCATATGGAGGAGGCAGGAATCCTACGTGGAGGACCAGGAGGGCCTGATCAGCAGTGGCCAACAGTCTCCAGTGCTACTCCAGGTAAGGGTGTGAAAATCCAGAATATATGTGAGGAACTACTGTTAACTTCAGTAGACCTCCTCATGCTTCCATCTTAGTTTTTGTTCTGTTTTGTGTCTCTGAGTGAAGTTCTTGTAAATTAATCTGTGGAATCTAAGTAGAGTGGAATAATAAAGCATAAAATGCATCTTTTTCTTTACTCAGTCTCAGAGGAGCACTGGAGATAAGAGTCCTTGATCCCAGCTTTCACCCTGCCTTTGGAGGTTATTGGTTTGTGTAATGGAATAGTGGAAGGGCTTCAGTTCTGATGTGTGTATTCAGATTCAAAATCCTTGAGTCTAGAGCTGATTTGCCCTCCATTTCAAAAGAACAGTAAAACTGGGGTAGGAGCTTATCAGTTCGCCCTTTGTTATTTTTACAAACCCAGTAAGTCTCTTTGAATGCCTCTTCTCATTTTCTGTGGTGAAATCAGACCTATTTTTTTTTGCTAGCTATTTTCATTCACTAGTACACGATGGTGGAAACTAAACTATTATTTGCTTATCAACATAAATGACCAAAAATACATTTTAGAATGTAGCTTCATTTACTCAGTCACTGACTGATGACTTCACAGCAGTCAATAAGAATTGGCAAAAGGTCCTAACTGAGTTAAGAAAAGAAAATCACCTCTGTCTTTTGTAGTGCAGGCAATAAAATATTCTCACTTTTTATGTTGAGGCAGGAATAATATACAGAGGTAGTGGAGCAGCCAGTCACTGGTGTGACCAGAGGTTTCAGTCATGTCCAAACTAAGCTGTCAACTTAGTGGATGCCCTGTGTAGGGTTGTGAGCCCTGTATGACAGCTCTGCGAGCATTATGAGTCCTCCAGAAATTCAAATGAGGAGAGATGTTCATATCACAGAGGCAGGTCAAAGGCCAAGAAGTGGCATCTCTATCAGAGAAGATGTGAGAGCTGCTTTATTTAATACTTTTTGGTGCAAAACTTTCCCTTGACTTAAATGGGAATTTTACCTGGATAAAGGGCTGAGGAGCAACTTCAGGATTTGCAATCACAGTTACAACATATCCATGAATTAATGGTGCCCAGCAAAACCTGCACTGGTGTTGCAGAAGAGTTGTCTGCAGAAACAGGTTTGAAATTAATATAATATATAATGGGCCCCTAGGCTATAATTACCTGGGTTTTGTGTGCTCTTCCTTCTGTTGCAGGCTTTGCAGGAAGACACAGCTCGTGCATGTTATGAAGGGCACATAACTGTTGAGCTTGCATTTGAAAATGTCACCACAAGTCACTCTAACCTTTACAAGGGGTTCCCTCAGGCTTTTCAGCTGCACTAATCATCCTTGACTGAGCACTTAGTGTATTACCTTATTCCAAGTTCAGTATGGATGCAATTCAGTGTGGATGCAAATACTCACCCTCACGTTTGCTTGCGGGTAATGCAGATTTCTAAGTACCTGAATGTAAATGCAAAGGTAGGGTGGTCCTGTCTTCTGAGGAGGTCTGTTGGCATTTGGGTCCCAGAACCCTGTTCCACTATCTGAACTCCTCCCTGCTATTCTTTTTGGGTCTTATCATTTTAGACTCACTTTGGGAACCTGAACATCTCTCTGTTTGAGGAGCAGCAGTAACCCTTGGCTCTTACTGCTCCATGACCATGCAATGAGGCACTTGTGCAATGAATGCATCCCTGTCACACACACTGCTCTGTATGTTGGTGGCTATGTAGGGTGGAGAAAACTGTAAGGCATAGTGAGAGGAGAAGCTGGCAGGAGGCCCTGTGGAGCTGGGCAGCTGGAGAGGTGACAGTCCAAGTGCCAGGGCTGTTTATTCTGGTCCTTGGACTGAGCATTGTAGATCATTGTTTCTCTGTGGTTTTTATTTCTAGGTAATGTGTTCAAACAGGTTTCAAGAAATATCTTCAGCCACAGGAAATTTTTCTGCCATACAGGAAAATGTGACTAATTAAAATTGCATTACAGAATACCCACACTAGTTACAGCTGCCTTTAAATCCAATTTTTGTGACTCAGGTTCCTCGTAAATGAATATTTTTTCTTGCACAATGAAGACTCATTTGTTTAGTCTTTGTCTACTCCGAAAGGATTAGTGACCCTGACATAACATTAATTAGTCCTTTTTTTATTGGGTTTGAGGTAATAGTCTTCTCTTGTAAGCAAAAGCTACAGATATCCCTGGTCCTTAACAGCAAACGATAATAGGCGATTCATAGGGAAATCTCAGTTAGGATTAGTGATTGTGTTAATTTTCATAACTTAAGTACATCGTCACGCATCACATTTTCAGCAATTTACTACCACTGTTTTAGACTCCTATCTGCAGTTTCCCACAAATATCTCTTTCAATGCTTCTTTCTTTCTCTGGTTTAGTTTCAAGACCTGTAATGTTTTTCATCAGGTTAACATACACAACTGATGCTTTTCAGAAGAGATTGAACTCATTAGAGTCAATTGCAGTCGATTGAGACAACAAATGCATTTGCTCCTGACATAGTATTTGCATGTGAATGGAGTGCACCTGTGTCCAGATAAACTCCTAGATAAGCTATTTGTTTTCTCTGTTATCATCAGCATACTGTGGCAGCTGCAGGTCTCGACTTCTGATTACTAGAAACCACTTCCAAGTCTGTTCTTTCCACACATTCTCCATGCAGTTGTTTTAGTCAATTGATTAATCCCAATCAGTTTGTCACTAAACCATTCATTTAATTTAACAATCCACGAAAGGTACAGATAAGATGCCTCACAGAGACAGATTCAGAGAGTTAATCAGTGAGAGCATTCAAAGATGATGTCATAGGAACACTTTAAGAAGGATGAACAAGTCAAGTGTTGAATCAGTAACTCCTTAATTCCTAACGCGTAGCTGTACTCAAACATCACACAATGTTCAGCAAATATGTGTTGCCCAAGCAAAACCTGGTCCTCATTTGACTGACAACACTCCTATTGACGTTATTGCATATTTCACCCATGCAGGGGAAATCTCGATCTGGAATTTTTAATTTGTCTTTGCATTTTCTTATGCACCAGTCCAATAGTTTGTAGGTTTGTAGTCAGGATGCTTCCAAGTGAAGTGCGACAAGAAGGCTCAAACTCCCTCTGGGTAGAGGACAGCATGGGGTTTAGCTGTCTGGGGCATCTCATTTGTCCCTCACATGCTATATAGTGAGTCCAGGAAATGCAGACAGATTTCTGGTTTCTGCTCTATGTCCTTCAACAGATTTGGCAATTATATTAGACTTTCTATAGGCGACCACTAGTCTGAGTGAACTTTATTTTCTGGATGCCTAACTCGGAATAACTGGGGCTTGATTTGCAGAAGTGGTGGGAGGCTGTAATAGAAACTAAGATGAACAGAAACTTTGCTCTAAACATACGGCACTGAAGACTTCTGAATAAATCAGACCTATGCATAATTCAGAGCTTAGAACTAGTGGGCATTAGACAAATCGGTGTGTACTTCTGTGCTCCAGGTTCCAATCTACGAAACAGAACCGGTAATGCAAGTGCTTCACAAAACAGTCTAAAGACACATTCATAGCACATATAAGACTCAGGAGAACGATAAGGTTTTGTGATGAAAAACAGCCACGAGGAATTTTAAGTCCTCTATTCAATGTAGGCTTTATATGTGTGCAGTAAATAGGGCAGTGGGCCACACACCGCATATATAGAGGGGAAAAATATACTTCCATCCAGACAACTCTGTAAACAAAAGAGGAAAGGACCTCATGAAAAAAATCTGCATTTGAAATTTGGAACCGTGTAGGTGAAGACTATGGGTCAAATACTGGCATCACTGAAGTCCATGGCAAATAGCCACTGACTTCAAGGGAGCTAGGATTTCAGTGGTCTGGCCTGAAATATGCTAGAGGGGAATATGCACAAGGGACTGAATTAAGGTTGCATAGACAAATGCAATCCTAAAATATGCTAGTTTTATGCTTCTGATCTTGCAGTGATAACGTTCTTCTAAGTATATCTATCATTTTTGTTTCCTTTTCCCAGGTAATTAGAGAGGTGGTAGCCTTGTTTTTTAAAGCACTCTTACGAAAAAAGCAATTATATTGTGTGAGAATCTACTGACCTCAACATGGGCAGTTCTCCATGCTTGATATTCATGGTGCATATGTTTATCCCTTGAACTGGCCAAGTAAACAGCAGTAGTAATATTGGCTGCTATTCCTTAAGAGAAATAAGCAGGAGAGACAGGTTAGCTATGGGTTTCATAGCTACTTGAAAAGGCAGGGGAATATTATAACCAAGAAACCCAGAGATCAACTCTAGGTCTGAAGAGGACTGTATGTGCTATATATTTATGTGTATACATATTTTTTTATATATATATATGTTTGTATATATATAAAATCTTTATACAAAACTGTATATAGCTCCTTGTTTCCTGTCACCCCAAGCCTGACTCTTTCAACGTTTGCCCTCTGAAGTTTGTGTCTACCACAGCTTTCCTCTCTTATTCAGTTTTTCCTGCTGTTCCTTACCCCCTGCCTAACTGTGACCTTTTTACACATGCCATGCTAGCTAGGGATATTCCATGCCCATATACTCTCAGACTGTCCTGAAAGACTGTAGAGACTCTTAGGTTTTATGCTGGGAACTACAGTTGCTCTGGAATAGATTTAAGTTGCTCTCGGAGGATGGTTCCTGCTCCAATCAGCTGGAATGTAGAAGAGGTCCATCGATGGGGCATGGGCTATAGAGTAAGTGATGAACACTGAAAATTAAATGAGAAGCAACTATAAATATGGCAAATAAGCAAAATGATCTGAAAGGTAAAGTCAGTCTTCCTAGTAAGTTTTATACTGCTGGTTTGGGGTAGAGTGTTGGGAATGGAATGACTGTGGGAAAGCTGTGAGGAAAGGGAAAGGGGATGCTTGTGTGGATTTTAAGAAAAGTGCCCAAGAACGCATTGATAGGAGAAGAAATTATTATAATTATCTAGTGTAAGTTGTGGTATACACAGTTCTGTGTTTCAC